CCGTCCACGTCGGAATTTCCCGGCAACACTCCGGCGCCCATCGACACCGGCCGGAGGAACTCCATAACTTTGAGATCCTCCTCCGACGCCTCCCTTTTCACGCCATAGCCGTTCTTCTTGCCGTTGCAGAACATGGTCCATAATGGCTCATCCATTAGCTTCGTCTTGTCGCCCTTGTCCGCTCTCTTCTCACACTCGAGAGCGATCCTCACCATCCCGGAACTCATTTCCTTCTGCAACACGTTTGTCTGCATCGCCAACTCTATCACGATGCTTGGTAAACATCGTGGCGACTCCTGCATCGACAGGCTCACCCGACCTAATCGAATAGGAGCGGAGTCAGAAATATTTTCACAACGACAAACAAGCATAGAAAATTATGAAATACTAACTTTCTTATTATGATAGTGATTCCTTTTTTTTATTTTTTATTTTTAAAAAATTCTCATTGAATTCTAGCTCCGATCTAAAAACAAAACCAGAATATGAGAACGTATTATATATTATCTAGCTTAATTTCTAACATCTTTTAATCAAATTAAAGAAGACAAATCTTTGCCATGCTCTTACCTTTTCGATAACCAAACAACGTCCCGGTGACGCGACTACCAGAGGGTGTACGAAGCGTATCCGATAGTCCAGATGGGAGCGACGGGATCTTACATGCAGGCGTCATGATGGGGAACGATCGAAAGACAGAGCGGAATACTCGAAAGACTTTGGTCTTGTGCTTCTTTCTTTTGGACGGTTGGACGAGGCCATTGGGGGAGGAACTTGCGGGTGGCAGCGGCGGAGGCGGAGGAGTTGAAGAATCTGGCGGCGGCTCCGGTGTTATGGTGGCAGCGTCGGCGGCGGTGGGTGTAGATTTTGGGTCTCCCATCAACCGAAGGTGATGAAGCAATAATGATTGGAATCAGGCAAGTGTGGGAGGGAGAGAGAAGGTGGAAGTGGCCGTTAAAAGTTAGTTATTGGAATGTGTTTTAGAATGGGTCTTGCCTCCTTGATTTGTGGTCTGGTCAAAAACTCTTGTTTTTTTCTTCAAGAAATAGAAAATTTCCTCCTAATTTTTCTCTAATCTATGTTTTATGTGTAATAATGGAGAATCATTTTATTTCTTCACCATTTTATAGGTTATCTCTGGATAAGTACAACACCAAAGTCTATCAATTTGCATCTTACCATTTATACAAATGCTGCAATCTTCACTTTAAACTTTAATGTAAATTTTACCTTTTTTATAGATTTTCATTTAAAAGATTGTTGGAAAAAATTTATCATACGAGTAAAATGAGTTAGAAAACATATTTGATATGAAATAGATAAGATTTAGATGAAAATGACATTAGAGTGGATTTTTTCTTAAATTTGTAAATTTTTGTAGTGTTATCTAAGGGGTGGATTTTGTGCATTAAAATTTGAAAAATGAAAAAAAAAACATCTTGGATCATCCCCACAATGATGCAAGTCACCCTATCATGTTTCTAATTTATTTTTATAACTATGGATCTGTTCGGTAAGGTTTCAATCTTTGTTTCTTCGTCCTGTTTTTCATTTTTTTTTTAAAAAAAAAACAAGTTTGGTAACCTATCTTGGTTCCATCCTCAATGGCAGCAAGTTTTAATTCTTTTATTATATTATATTTTTTTCTTTATATATATAAATATATATTTTAATATTTGTTTATATATTTTTTTTCTTTTCTTTTATATATTTTATATAAATGATTTTTTTATATTTTATATTTTTTATACAACATTTTCTTTTATATTAAATTAAAAATATTTTAAAAATTTATTCTTTATTAAAGTCTATATATATATATATATATTATATTTTCTGGAATGAGCATGTGTTATATCTTTTTTATATTATATCTACTATTTCTTTTAGCTGAACATTAAAAAACTAATATTTGTTCAAGTATATATCCTAGATCAATATCAAATTCAAATTTTCATCGTCACAAATTGTTGTACTAAAAGAACTAAAACTAAAAACAAAGAACAAGAAATAATTATCAAACATATTTTTGTTTCTTGGAAACAAGAAATAGAAATGGTTATCAAATGCATTCCTATTCCTAGTTCTAAAAATGTTAGAAACAGGAAACGAAAAACGAAAAACAGGAAACGAAAAACGAAAAACAGGAAACAGAAACGTTACAAACGAGGCCTATATATTCGAAGAATCAAGAAATAGTTAAACAAGAAATTTATAATTAGCATTGTCTTTTAAGGTCCTTACTGATTGGCACCTTAAATCTAGTGAATCGGTCTCTTATGAAATCTTTTATAGGTTGTTTAATTCTTTTCACCCAATTCACTTTCTTGATTGTGGAATAATATTTTTTGATAGTTGAATGCTCTCTTAATTCCAACTGTTTTTTCGTACTTTACCTGCTTCCATGTTAATTAATTGCAACGATATATATGAAATGCTGCTTGTTAATTTCTTGGTGTCGAACTTTACCTGCTCTCTTAAGTTCTTCGTTCCATGAAAACGCTGCTGGTTAAGGATCTCATATTAAAAAGGAAAGGACATAACAATGATTTATAATAGATACAAATTATTTCTCTCCTTGATAATTGATTTGAGATGAAACCCCACCGTCAATTGGGATTTCATCTCAAATCAATTTGGAGTTTCCCAATTGATTTGAGATGAACCCACAAAATATATATACACACATACATTTTGGAAAGCAAACTGATTTTAACACCAAAACTAATTAGGACTTAGATTATGACATAAAAATTCATTTATAATTAAGGATCATATAAATCAAAACAACTTAAAAGAGAATGTCTTAAACTAATAAATGAAACTTTAAATTTACATGATTATAAATAACACTACAAGAAATTTGAGTTTTCTTGACGCAAAAAATTGTTGTCAAAGTTCAATATTTGGTCGAAAAAATTCTTTGTCGATGATATTTTTTTGTTGCGAAGTTTGTCGACATAACCCTGTCACGATAAACCTTTGACGACAAAATCTAAAATTAAGTCGCCAAAAGTCTTTGGCGACAAAACAGATTTGGTTGCCGTAGATCTTTGGCAACAGAAAAAACGAATTTTGTCATAACAGATTTAACAATTTTGCGCGTGCCTTTTATTTATTTTCTTCTTAGATGTTGTCACCATATATTTCTTTAAATTTAAATAAAACTTCATAAAAAAGCACTCAAAATTGTCATATAAACTTCGATTTATATTAAACAAAAAGTAATTTTTACAATCGGTCTTAGTATAGAAAATCAAATACAGCAGAAGCTAAATTTCGACTACAAAGTAAATCTAAACCTAATTTAGAAAGCTTCATGTCCTTGGCTCCATGAAATCTCCTCTAATTTCCAAAGCTTATAAGAAGAAAAATCAAAAGAACCTGAAAAAACAAATGAGAAATAAACTTATGTGAACCTAGAGGGACAATAAAGTGTCTTTACCTAACTTATTCTACTATATTGTAGATGAACTTCATAAATAGAACAAAACGTATTAAATTGAAGCAAAGAAAGCGTGGATAAAGTAAACCAAAATCTAGTTTAGGATAGATTCAAAAACAAAACATGCTAGTAGTGCCTAAGTGGTGCCAAATATGCTAAAAATGTAAATAAGTTTGTTCTAGTACTTCTTAGGGGTGTTCACGGGTTGGGTTGGGTCGGGTTCAGGGTTTTTTGGAACAACTCGAAAATTCGGGTTGGACAGGTAGGAGAACCGATGAAACCGACTATACTAGCTAAACCAACCCAACCCAACCCTATATTTTTCGGGTTGGGTCGGGTTGGGTTCTTGGGTTACTTTACTTTCTATTTTCCTTTTCAAACAAGGGTTGGGATGGGATGAGCGGCGGATGGCTGTAGACAGAAGGGAATGTCGGTAGCGGCAGCGAGAGGCGAACGACGGTACGAATGACGGTGAATAGAGGTGAACGGCAGTGAACGAAAGCGAACGACAATGAACATAAGCGAACTGCGACAAACAAAGGCAAATAGAGACGAATGATAACGAACAAAGGGGAACGGCAGCGAACAAACGAGAACGGCAGCGAACAATGGTGAATGGCGGCAAACGACGGCTTAAGATAGTGAGATTGAGAGAGATGGGATGAGATTGAGAGAGATTGRGATGAGATCGAGAGAGTAGAGAGATGAGAGGGAGATTGAGAGAGGTGTGATGTGATTGAAAGGGTTAGAGAAATGAGAGCCGACTACAAACCCTAAACCTAAAAACATAAGATATATATATATATCGGTTCGGGTTAAACCGATTTTTTTCCCTCTTAATCCGAGAACCGAACCGAACCGGTCGGTTCTTTAAAATTAGAACCCAACCCGAACCGATCATATACTTAACCCAACCTAACCCTCACGGTTCGGGTTGGGTTCTTCGGGTTCATTGGGTTACCGGGTTTTTTGAACACCCTAGTAATTCTAGATAATCTCAAGACTAAAATTTTAGACACAAAACTAGTTTGAGCCTATCTAAAAAATTTTTAAAACGTCCCAGGGCAGAAAATGTTTCTAAAAGAAGACAAACATGTCTAAGTCGTTCCTAAAGAATTTATCAAAACAAAAAAATTGGGCATAAACAACACAATCAACTTCTCAATACAAAAACCCATAAAACAATTATTTTATCTTCAAAAAATAAGAAAATGAATTAGAGGCAGACGTCAAACCAACAGAATTAAAGACATAGAAACTTAAAAAAATGTACAAGATAAATTGGACGATAAAATTTCCCTCATTTCTCAAAACTTTTAGCGACGAAATTAAGTTTCATCATCAAAAGTACCATATGACGAAGAATTCTAAATTTCGTCGCTAAAAGTTTTGAATAAAAAATCTTACTTTAATCGCCAAAAAGATCGGGTGGTAAAATTCCTTCTATTTCTCAAAATTTTTGACGACGAAATTGTAGCCGAGGGTACCTTATGGTGACAAATTTCAAATTTCGTCCCAACAAATTTTGAATAAAAAATTTTAATTTAATCACCAAAACATTGGGCAGTAGAATTTCCTCACATTTCTCAAAACCTTCACGACCAAAAGTACCTTAGAGG